AAACAGCCCCAACCTTTAGCTCCCTGTTCTTGGGCCCCCTGACTGCAGCTTTGATTGTTGACCTAAATTCCCCTTTCATAACTGAGTCCTGTCACCTCTGGTTGGAGTCTCCCAGCAAAACAGGCATGGCCAACTTTCAGAAGTGCAGGGCACTGTTTTCTGTTCTGCCTTGCGTGGCTCTGATGGCTCCGCAGCACCTGATGTGTTCGAAGTCAAACTCAGCTCCCTCTTCCCCTTCCCCCACCTCACCCTCCTGGAAATGAAACCATAACAAGGTTTTTGTTTTTTTTTTTTTTTTACTTTTACTTTTGCCTTTCCCCTTCTCCCTCTCCCCCCACTTCCCATTGCTCAGCAAAGAGAGGAAACTTTTCCTGCATGAAGAATGAAATTCTTCGTTCGTTCTATGGCTGGGTTGGTTGCTGCAAAGATTGCTCTTCTCCAGACATAAGAAATGGCACTGAAGTGAGAGAAGGAGGCCCTGGAGGATGTTATTTATAGCATTGTAGTGGGTTACAGCAGCTTGGATGGGCTACTCCAGCCTTTCTTCTGTCAAACTCTGCCCACAGAGGGCTGCTCTGGCTCCAGCAGCCTCCAGCTGTGAGTTCCTGTTCCTCTGCTCCCATCCCAGTTACAGCAATGCCTCCTGTCCTCACCCAGGGCTGTCTCCCACAAGTTCAGCAGCTGATGTTGTGTGCTGTGTTCATGCTGCCAAACCCTGCCCAGTGCACAGAGCCCATGTAAGGATGTGGCTCATTTTAAATCCCCAGAAAAGTCCTGAAAGCAAAGTGGGTCATAAATGCTGGCGTTGGTTAGGGGGTCCTGGAAGAGGTCAGATGGGCAGTGATGGTGGAGCTATTGTGGGTCAGTAGCCAAAGAACTGAGATTTTGCTTGTAAAAGGAAAGAGGGAGACTGTCTTTCTCATTTTCCATGTTTGGCTTTTGGCTTTGAGCTGCTGGAGTTGAATTATCCGGCTTTCCCCACTCTTTTGATGCCTAGGAATTTACTTTTCCTATAAGGGACAAACATCATAGGACTGGAAGAAGCCTTGTGGGCCATTGAAGTCTGTCTCTGGCCAAGCATAAAGGAATGTGGCATCTTCCTCTGTTTGTGCACTTCTCCAAAGTCCTCCAAGAAGTGACTCACTCCTTTGTGGGGAAGGGAGGCTTCCAGAGCTCTTGCTGGAAAGCTGAACTAGCACCTCTTCTTTTTTTTTTTTTTTTTTCTTTTTAATTAAATACAAAATTCCATTTCAATCCCTTGGGCTTCAGGAACAAGAGCTTTAGAAGGAAAAAATCATTCAGACTAAGGAGGAAGAAGGGCTGTCAGTGTTCTCCTCAGCAGGAGCTCCATCCCTTTCTAGCAACTCAAGGCAAGCAGAAGTGAAGAAAACTGTTTGCTGCTGTATGAAACTTGTACATATTTTTTTAATCTAATTTCTGTGGGGAAAACAAACATCAGTTTTATTTCACACCATTTCTTGGCTCAGAAACTTTGGGCACATTCGCCAAATTGTGGTTTTTCAGTCATTGGCTGTGTCTCATTTACCATGAGGCCTCTTTGGTTGGTAAAGAGATATTAAGTAGCTAAAAATGTCCTTTACTGCATTATTGTAAAGAATTCTCAGTGTAAATGAGAATTTAAACTCTGTAGATTTTTCATGTAAATGTTGGTTGTGGTCACAGCTGACTTGAAATTTGGAGTGTCAACCATTATGTGGGGTGATTTTGCTCAAAACCAGCCTTGTTTGGGGTAAAAGAGGCCTCTTCTTGTTTAAAATGTTCTTAATTATGTCTGAGAAATAACTCACGGCTATGGAACCTTTTACTAAATTGAAATAAATTGTGAAAACGTCAAATTATTCAGTTTTCAGAAGTTCTGGCAATTATTTCACATGTCCCTCTTCCAATGGCTTTGCCCTTATTAGTTGTCATAGAAGAAGTAATAAATTCTTTTATTATGACATCCAGTGTCCCAGCTGAAATTAGTTTCATTGTGCTGGGGACAAAACGGAAAAGTGACACTCCCTTAGCCGGAGGATCCTCAGTCCAAAGCCAAAAGTAAAGAGAAGGATTGGGAAAATAGGTGAAGCATTCAAGCAAAAGAGGGTCATAAGGAACTGGTACAACTTGCAAGGGAGTTGGGTTTCTTATCCCAGCACAAGGGACTGTGGGTTTCTTGTCCCTTTTTCTAATTTTTTTTTATTTCTCTTAAGAATAAAACAAACTCTTGCTGCTGAAAGGCTTGTGCTCAATCCATCTTTTCATCAAGAGTTGGAGACTGCAACAGTAAAAGTTTGAGAAAATAATACTGTATGTGGCATAAGGATTCAGTAATGACCTTTGCCCTAAAGTAGGAAACACAAGGAACTGGAATAGTAGAGTGTTTTAGTTCATCAGCTTTCATACTGGTGTGTTCAGTGGTGTCCCTATTGTCACTGGATTTTTTCTTTTCCTGTCCTTCTTTGGCTCCCTGTAAATCTTGAATTGATGGCAGCTGTTTGAGCCCAACTCAAGACACGTTGCATCACATCAGGGTTTAAAGGCTCAAAGGCAAGGGAGGATTGCTACTATTCTGTAGTATTCCTCCAGCAGCTCCTCATGCTTAGCTGAGGTCAATCACCAGCATCAGGCAGCACTTCAGAGAGAGGAAGATATTCTTTGAATGCTGCCTGGGAAACTGGATTTCCATCCCACAATAATTTCAGTTCTTTGGGGAATATTTCTAGCCCCGGTCAGTGTAAAGAGCAAAAACTCTTGACCCTTAAAAACTGTATGGTGGACTTTCCTGGAACTGGAGACCTGTTCCAGGACTTCCAGCTGTCCATCCAACCGTGGGGATCTTGGATGCCTGAAGAAACAGGGGGAGCAGCTTATGTGTGTGCAGCTGCTCTGTGATCCACAGACCTGGAGGATTTGGTCACTGGAGGTGGCAAATGAGGCTGGAGATGGTGGGGATTGTGGCAGGGATGAGTTGTTCTTCTGTGCCTCAGTCAAAACAGCCCAGGGAGTCCCTGGGGTTCCCCTGGCCGTGTTGAAGACATGCAGATTCTCAGAGGGATTTGCTGGGACAAGACCATTTCTGCATCACTTTTTCTTCTCTCACCATGCTGGCATTTCCTGGCAGGCAAAAACTCTCTCACAAAATGCCTGATCAGCTCTAATGGTCTTATTACAATAAGCTGAGATTTTTATGACTTATTTGGGAGAGGGACTTGTCTTGCCAGCTGTCTTCTTATTCATTGCAGTATTATCCACCCACTATCACTGGACAATACCTTCATTTGAGATGCATAAAAATACAGACTTTTATGGGCTCTCATCCATCAGAAAATGAATGCTATGTAAAAGCATTTATTTCCTAAAGAAAAACTTAAAAACGCTTCAAAAACAGATTCCAGAAGGTTATTGGTCACTTTGGCTCTCGTATCAGGAGTTCCTCGGGTAAATACCTATCCCAGCAAATGTAATTTTCTTTTAGCACATTTGTTTTTTCCTTGCCTGGTTCTCCTCCTCTCCTTTCTCATGATCAGAAGTAGCAGTATAAACCAGAAGCTGGTCTTGAAAAGGTTTTGAACTGAGTGCACCCTACAGATGAATAAACACATTACCTTCCGAACTCTGGGATCTCTCTTCCAAAGGAAACAGGAAAAGGGGGAGCTCAGAATCCCTAGCAAAATACCAGCGTGCAGAAAAAACGCCCGTTTAAATGTTTTTAACTTTCCCATCAGAAGAGTTTTTTTTACAGGGGGAGGAGGTGGAGAGGGGCATGGTGTGAGGAGAAGGGGGGAAGGTGGGTGCTGGGAGAGGGGAGGAAAAATACAGTGAATGCTCCTGTAACCTTTGCTCTGTTGATACTAGACAAGACTGCACTGTTAATGAGTGATTGTTAACAGATGGCTCTTGAGCAACTTAGTCAGAAGCAGAAGATGTTATTTGGTTGTAGTGAGGGGAGGGTGAGGGTGCAGGGGTGAGGTAAGGGGATATTTAGTCTTTTCACGAGGACTGAACTGTCAGAGATTTATGATTTTCCTTTAGGCTTTTGGAAGTGGAGGCTCTGGGGAAGGATTGTTTTCTATGTGCTGATAGTAGAAAGGCCATTTGGTGCTGAAAGCTCCAATGATTTTGTTTTTGGTGAGGGGTGTCCCTGCAGCCCTTGGCCTTTGAGGACTGAAGGATGGAAATGTCTGTCTTTAACTGGCTGAGCCTTGTGTCCCAAACTGGGGAGGAGTGGGCTCTGAGGGCTGGGTGAGAGGCCTCTAAGAATGGATCTAGCCCTTGGGAGAGAAATCTTTCCATGGTGCATTAAGTTGTTAGGAGGTGTGCCTGTGAGGGGGCAGGAACCTTTCTGAATGTCCATCTTTCTGGGGATGTCCATCTGTGTGGATTTCTTGTCCTTCCCCAGTGTGGTGTATACCAGTGTATGCCTACTGGCTTTTGTTGGGTATGACTTTGAAGGCAGCCTGAACACATCCCATTCACACTCTGTAGGATTTGCATGGTTGAATTTAACAAGGTGACTGCAGCTGCTCAGTGCTTCCCAAAGTGTGCAGAATTTAGATTTTGTATTTATTTTCCTTCTGAACCTTATTAGACATATGGTTCAGGGGTATGAAGGATGAGTGACATCAGCAGGGATTGGTTCTCAAGACTGTTTTTGTTTTCAACCACTGATGAATGGCTTGAGGGAAGGGAAGAACCAAATGCACAGTCCAACATTTTGTTGATAGGAATTTGCAGAAAAGTTTTGGACTTTGGTCAGGAAAAGGGAATCCCATTTGTACATGCCACTGGCAAATCTTTACCTTTAATAGGAAGACTTGACGTGACCTCCCACAAAGGTGCACTAGATGATTTAAAGTCTTCCTTGTGCACTAACTATCTAACAGATGTAGGTGAGTGTGTGTATATACATTTAGAGAGATATATTTACACAATTTAAAGACTAACGCCTTCATTCTGTCATCCTTATTTATTCCTATTTCTCTTTTGGGGGCACATAGGACTGTATGACAAATGTTCTTACACCTCCCGTGACCGAGGCTGGGTCCTGGGGATTAACACCGTCAGTGACCAGGGGAACAGAGACCCCCGCTATTTCTTCTCTCTGAAGACGGACCGTGCTCGCAAAGTCACCACCATTGCAGCACACCGCAGCTACCTCCCCAACCAGTGGGTGCACCTGGCTGCCACCTACGACGGGCGCCTGATGAGACTCTACGTCAACGGTGCCCAGGTGGCCACGAGCGGAGAGCAAGTGGGCAGCATCTTCAGTCTGCTGACCTTGAAGTGCAAGGTGCTCATGCTGGGAGGAAACGCCCTGAACCAGAACTATCGGGGTTATGTGGAGCACTTCAGCCTCTGGAGGACAGCCCGGTCTCAAAAGGAGATCTTGTTGGACATGGAGCAGGCAGTTCACAGGCAAGACACGCCCCTACCTCAGCTCGTTCTTCAAGACAGTTTACTGAATGTGAAAAGCACCTGGTCTCCCATGAAGGACGGCAGCAGCCCTCAGACCAAGTTCAGCTACCACCACGGCTATTTGCTGGACACCAGCCTGGAGCCTCCTCTCTGCGGGCAGACGGTGTGTGACAACACGGACGTCATCGCCAGCTACAACAAACTGCCCAGGTTCCGCCGCAACAAAACCGTGCGCTACCGCGTGGTGAATCTGTACGACGACCAACACCAGAACCCCACCGTCAGCCAGCAGCAGATCGAGTTCCAGCACCAGCACCTGAACGAGGCTTTCAGCCGCTACAACATCACCTGGGAGCTGGAGGTGCTGGAGGTGAAGAATTCTTCCCTTCGCCACCGGCTCATCCTGGCCAACTGCGACATCAGCAAGATTGGGGACGAGAACTGTGACCCCGAGTGCAACCACACCCTGACGGGCTACGACGGCGGCGACTGCCGGCACGTCCGCCACGCGCTCTTCAACAAGAAGAAGCAGAACGGGGTGTGTGACATGGATTGTAATTATGAGAGGTACAACTTCGATGGGGGGGAGTGCTGCAACCCAGAGATAACAGAAGTCACCAAGACCTGCTTTGACCCATATTCTCCTTACAGGTAGGCAATTTCTTTTTATGATCGTATTGATGAATATCTGTCTAGGTATCGATCATCCTGCTGGCTGTTGAAGCCTTTCATTGTTGCTATTATGGGCTTTGGAGTTTAATGAATTTATTTTTTTTTTCTCAGTATTTGGCTCACATTGCCATTCTCCAAATGCAATCTCAGTAATGGTCTCAGTAGTGTCTTACCCCTGAATTGGTATTCTCCAGCCAGGCTAAGGAAAATCTGTGCTAAAGACTGAAGCAGCCAATTTTGAGAGACCCATTAGTTGTTGGCTATGAGCAGCACAGTTTATTTTAACTCCAAACTCTGAGGAGTGGGGATTAGATGTCACAGAAAGCTCATGCGTATTTGGAGAGGGAAAAGGCCCTCAGTCATGAAACAGAACATGAATACCCTTAGGTGGAGTCTGTAATTCTGTAGCACTTCTTTGAAGGTAGGTAGGTAACTCCATACTCTTACTGCTGTGTACAGCTCTCTGTGGGCACTGCTGTGGAGGGGCAGCTGAGTCTGGGGGCTGTGAGGAGGGAGGTGGGTACCAGGTTCCTGTTGCACACACTGTGGGGGTAATGAAACTCTTCTCTGCCCCTTTCTAAATATATATGAGAACAGGGGTAATGCCACTTCATTGCAGGGCAGCTTTCTGTGGGTGGATGTGAGCTCATAAAATCCTCAGCTCCTCAGCTCAGGCTTCCTTGGGCTGCAGTTTGAGGAGTGGCATGGTCAAATAACTTGCATCAGGTGGATACCACGTACCTACAATTACTCCAAAATCAGACAAGTTAGTATGTTTAAGTAATAAGATGTTTCTTCTGAACAAGTTAGAAGTATATAAGTGCAGAAAAGATGAAAATTAAGGCTGAAATTTTGTTATCTGCATTCCATGTTACAGCTTTTTTGGGCAATTAATGGAGCCATAGAGGGGAAACTTCTAAATAGTCAGAATACTCAATACTAAAGTTCAGTTAAAGAAGAAAAGTACAAGCTCTTCAGGAGTCCCTTCCATTGCAGCAATTCAGGCTATATTTATAGCTTCCTTAATAGAGAGAAATTTTTAAACAACATTATCAGCTCTAGTGGAGCTTTAAATACACATAATTAAGTTGGAAAGAAAAGGCAATTTTTTTTTTTTTTACTCCAGCAAGGTTGTTGTTTAAAAAATCCTTCTAGCTCAGTTTGACTTCAGTCACTTACCAGTGAACAAAGCTCAAATGAGGAAATTCTTTAAATATTAATGCTTGAAAACATTGAAAGGAAAAATACCAATTTTTAATACTGTTCAAATGGAGAGGAACTCAACTAAGCAAATATCATCAAAAGCATAGTGAAAATCGGATTGCTTTAACACTGTAGTTGAGAGAATTCAAGGTGTTAGCTGTAGCAACTAATACAATTCTTAGGAAAAAATACATTATTTTTAATCTGATAGTACCCTTTTATCACTTGTTCTGTGACCAGCATAATACAATTTGGAGACAACCACCTGGCTGAGCTTGTCTGGAGGACTTAGATCTCATGGTCTTGATCTCACAGATCTTCTATAGGTTCATTTTGACTTGAGAAAAACCTCCTCTTCACCTGAAAGAGTAGGGGAAGCCTGAAGATCCTCTTCTACAGCCTAGAGCCTCAGAAAATCCAGAGATGCTCCAAAGATTTTTTTTTTTTTTTTGGTAACAGATTTAATTTATCTATCTTTGCACAGACATTGTATTGCAGCATTGACCATTGGCAATGAAACCACAGAGGGCAGTAGGAGAAATTCCATGTCTCTGGAGCCTTTATTTGGTGGCTGATGTGCTTTGGCTGAGCCCAAACTCAGTGTTTGCACTCAGTAAGGCAAAATAGAGCAGTTAGGCCTGTGGACTTATCACTGAAGTTTGTAAGCCTGACTCACACTGCTTTGGGAATTTAGGTTAACAAATACAGGTTTAGGGCAGTGATTTTGGCAGCAAAGCCTTTACTGAGTACAAGGGTGAAGATTCAAGCCTTATGTTTGGCTTTGGTATTGCTGTCAGCATCGTCCCCTGAGAGAGAGATTTCCATGTCAATTAGTGACAAAGTAAAAATTTGGTTGGCACCATCTGGGCCCATTTTGCATCCCCAACCCCTCTTGTCATTGCTTTCATTGGCCAAGAGTCCTCAGTCCCCTCTGGTGCAGACCTTGCACCACAGCAGTGAAGCCATTGCAGCCATGGAGACCTCACATCTCATTTCAGGTATTTCCTCCACCAAAGTTCAGTCCAACAATAGCAGAAGAAAGGGCAAAGATCCTTCAATCTGATGAGGAAAGGAAGGGAAGAAAGATGAAATGGTACCAATAAAAATTTTCCTGAACTTTATTTATAAAGACTTTTCAGAGTCTTCCTTGGTACTGGGCTTTGTTCCTTCACACCCTCAGAGTCAGCAGTTGCAGCCAGCTGTTCACCAAGCAGAGCTTATTCATGAAATACTTCTGTCCTCTGGAACCAACCAAAAAGTGCTAATGCTTGATTAATGCTGTAATAAACAGGAACCCTCCTCAGTGCCTCTTTATCCCCAAAAGATGATTTATCTGTTCCCAGCCACTTTCCTTCTTCTGATTATGAGTCCCAGTCCATGAAGCTCCATCCTGGGATAGAGTTGCTCTGAGCCTTGATACAAAAACTACTGTGGGTGCTTTGTGACTAAGTGATACCACTGGAACAATTCCAAGACACCTCTGATCTGTGTTACAATTTTCTTGTGATCCTTTTGGGCACCGGGGACAAAGGGCTCAGGTACTTTGATGGTGTCATTCAGTCACTGTGGTGGTAAAACTGTGGTGACTTCAGAGCTGATCCCAGCAGCACAGCTGGTTGGTTTCTTTTCTGTTTCCTGCCTGTCTTTGTGGCACCTCTCCAAAAATATTGAACTCCAAAAAGCTGATGTTCCATGCCATAGTGATGTGGCAGAGATTTAAGTTTGTCAGAGGGACAGCAGTAAGAATGGGAATTCTGCTCTCAGAGCTGCTCAGCAGAAGAGCTGTAAACATTGTGGTACCAACTAGATCATCTCTCCTCTTTTTTAATAGCCTGCAGGGAAAAAACAAAGGACTGGTTATCATTAGCCACACAGCAGGCTTTATCCAAGAATATCTGCCTCACTTCTTTTCATTAATTTCATGAGAGTGGGACAAAATGTATTTTGTCCCAGCAGAAGGTTTACAAATATTGTTCTGCTTTTTTGCAATTCCGGGAAATTAGAACATGCTAAGATCATACAGTTTGGCCCAATACAAAAGGGAAGGAGCAAGAATAAACACCCTTGCCAGAAAGACTCATTCTTTGTGTTATTTGGTATATTGCTGGTTACAAAACAGGGAAGACTTTGAGCTCATGACACCTACCATGGCTGCTTTTCAAAGAACTTGAAAGAAGCAGCAAGGGATCATAGGAAACCATGCTCGGTAAATGCCATTTGATGTGGTGAGTTCTTGCACCATCCTATGGTTAACTGAGACGTTCCTTTTATGTAATATTGGGCTTGCACATCAGGCTTCACCACAGGATTCCATGGACAGATAAGGAAGCATTCCCCTCGGTGCCTTCTTAGGAAAACGTTGATGAAATTCCTGAAGCAGTAAAAGTACTGGAGTCTCTTCAAGCTCCCTCAATCCATATGGCCCACCAAATACTTGCTGGAAATCACCCCAGAATAACTGTCCTGGGAACAGACTTTCTCAACATCTACATGTGTGCCCCAAAGGCTCAGAGCCCTTCATTTCTGCCTTAAAGAGGGGCAGGACGAGCTGTACAAGCTCTGGTCCATTTGCAGCAAACTCAGGTTGGCTCCAAACCAAGGAATCACAGAACCACAGAATGATTTGGGTTAGAAGGAACCTTAAAGATCATCCAGTTCCAGCCCTCCCTGAGAGCTGGAGCCTCTGTGTCCTTTTCTAGCACTTGTATTGGACAGTTCAGCGCTGTTCATATTGTGTCACACCACATCCCAGGCATACATAAATTAGATTTAAAATACATGCCTGACCCATTTGTAGGAATTTCCACAGTGGTTTTGAGCAGCAGTGGGTGTGACAGAGCTGTGTGTGGGCGCACTGGGCTAGGGCATGTGGGCCAAAGCAGTAGCATCAGGAGGAGGAGGTGGTGGCTAATCCATAGCCCAGGGCAGCCTCAGACAGGTGACTGAGCTGCACTTCAGGGCTCTTCCATGGAGTACCAGCTCAACCTCTTTTCCTTCTCTTCTGCTGGAAATCTCTTCATGAGACGTACTTGAAAAATATGGTCAGCTTGCTCTGGAGGAGGGAGGCACACTGAATGCCCTTTTCCAGGAGCTGAAGTTGTAAGAAACACTCCTTGATTCCCAATAAAGCACTAATTTCCACTTAATCCTAAACACTAAAAAGAACAGAAGAAATTCTTCAAAGCTCTTCAGTTCCGGGAGCTTGAGAACTTAATCCCCTGCCTCGAAGAGACCATTGTGCAGCTCTTGACATCAAGGATGCCTGCATTCACATAGGTATCAGACAGACATATAGCAAATACCTGAGTTTTTGTCTAGGGATTCAGTGTTAAATGCCCAGTTCTTTAATTAGCAGCTCCAGGGCTGTTTAGGAGGCAAAGAGTAATGCTGTCAAGGACGGAGCTGCTGTATCTTGGTAGTTGTCACCCAAAAGCCAAGTCCCAACAGGAAATCCTCTGTTCTCTCTGTTTATTCTGTCCTCTGTTCCAGATGTCAGGGATGTTAATCAGCTGGGAGGAGTTGCATCTGTTCCCATGCTAGCAACTGACATTTATAAGTCTAGTATTGAATTCTGATACAGACAGGACTGCAGTGCTAAAGAAACTATTTCTATACGATTCCACACCCTAGAAACAGTAGGAGTTTGCTCAATTTAGCTTGACCCACAGTCAACTTTTCCAACAGCTTTTTTCAAGAAACATTTTTTCGCCAAGACTCATAGAACTCATGGTTTCTTTCATGGATGTTATACATTAAGGAAAAAGATCACTGTCTGG